AGGCCAGGTTCCTTCTAGGAGGCAAGGATTTTGAAGCTCCATCACCCACACTTTGAGCATGTTGCCAGGTGGGATCAGTCCTTGAAGGACATCATGCTTGGATGGGTGGAAGGTCAATGCAGGAGAGGAAGTTTCTAAATGAGATGGGTTGACTCAGTGACTGTGACAATGGGACTAGGTGTGTCAGAGACAGTCATTTTGGCTCAAGAGAAGGCAAGATTCACAGCTATTGTTCAAAGGGTTACTATGAATGGTATTTGACACAATGACAAAATAACAGCAACAACAATAGCATCTGAGAATTCTTTTTGTCAAGCCACTTCCCCCACACTGGGTCAGAGATCAAGTGTCTCATGACAATCTCTTCCTGAAAAACAGAACTACTTTCGGCCTCTTCTGTTCAGTGCACGTCTGCATCTTGAACATACATTTAAGAGTTTGAGTTAGACGTGAACCTGAAGTGGGCTTGAAGGAATATGATGTGAGAAGGCAACTCAAAGTCCACCAGCCCTTGACTCCTGTGAAAGAGATAACTTCTGGTACTTTATATCATTCCCTGATTTCCCTACACGTATTCCTTTATCTTTCTAAAGATCCACAGGGTAGCAAAGGTTGATTTTGCACTTATTTGTCCTCTTACACATACCCTTCTCTCCTCAAGTCGTTGTTCACCATGATAATATTCAATGATGGATACTGAGGTAAGGGGCATAATGTTGTGGATATAGATATATTTGGTTTATTCACTTATTCTACCCTCATTGTGTCAGGTATAACATATTTCTTTCAGTAGTAGACATTTAAGTTTTTTAAAATGGCAAGTTAAAGAAGAATATCAGATATTTTTACTTGATAGATGTACTTGATTAAACAAATGACAGTCAACTTGGTAGTGAAGATGAGATACATTGTGAAGATGAAAGGTCAGTTCATAGCTTGAGGAATACAGTGTACACGGACGGCACTTGACAGACACATGCATGGAAAAGATCTAGCTGTATTCTCAAGGACACCGATAAAATTACATACACACTCAGCCAGAGAGCAAGAAAGATTGAGAAAGTAAAACACTATAGGACCTTGGGACAAATTAGGAAGGGTTTTTGGATGAAGTGACATTTGAACTGGACTTTATGGGATACAAAGCTAGAAAAGAAAGGCATAAAAAGTCAGAGGTGGAGGTCAATGAGATAATACAGATAAAAAACTTTGAAAATTGTTGAAGAAATGACAGTGTCAGGGATTAATATTATTTCAGATCAGAGGGAGGGATGAAGTTTCTAAGACGAGGATCTTTTCAGTATCAACAAAGAGAGACCAGAGGCGGAAATGGGTTTGAGGAGCCTGGATGGTACCATCATGACTCTAGTCAAAATGGACACTGAAGACCTTTGCTGTAAGAGCCAGTTAAAGACACCACTTTTAACTGGCAAACACTGTTCTTCAGTTACTCACTTGTCCTACCAAGACCCTTCTTACTCTCTTGAGAAATCACTCTGTTCTTGCTTTGAGTTTCCCTGACATTCTTATTCATCCCTGGATCTCTGAAACTTGTAATTCTAAAATGGGTGCACAATTCTGTTGAAAAGATAGGTAGCCTGATGTCTAGAAGAGAGAAAGCAATTGTTTATAGATGAACAGCACATCTGAAGAATAAAAATAGGACCGAGTCTGAACTTAAATAATTGAAAACTGGTGCATTAAATTCATGCTTCTCAAACCTGCTATTGTGGTTATTAAATGTCAAGGACCTGCCCCACATCTTCAAGGCATGGGGCACAAGGCTGCATTTTTAACAAGTGCTCCGGTTAAGTCTGACTTTGCCAGGCCAGCTCCAAACATTTGGGAGGCCCCATCTTGTACCCTTTTAATGGGGTTCCGGGTGGTGCTGGTGCTCTTGTGTCCTGATAGGGATTTCCTATGATCTTTCAGCTGTGTCTCAGACCATTGCCCTTCAATAGAAAGGACACTCTAATGAGAACCAAGAGAGCTGAATATAAGTTCCATCAGAACTGCTTACAGTAATTTCATCTCCTTCCGCCTGTTGCTTCTTCCCACTGGGGAGACTGAAACTAGATTATAATAGCAGAGAATTGTCCCATAATATGGCTCAACATTGTAAGAATGCCACTTTTGACATTTAAAAAACCCCACAACTTTTAAGGTTACTTCTGCCTTGGCCAATTTACAAAAAAGCACAAGGTAGACTAGACTGTATATAAAATACATGCTGTTTAGGGAGCTTGGGTGATGTCCATAGGGAATCATTTGTGTCCATAGGGTGTCCATTGATAACACAAAGGTGTCACCTCTCTGATGGTTTGGATCTACCAGCAACTCCACGGATTAAGATGCTCAATCTCCTTCTGTGTGAATTACAGCTTCTGGAGGGTCGGCTCTGAGTTTAATCTGATTCAACAATGTTGAGAATAACATGTGCACTATTTGACTTGCTGCGGTCCCTACCACTTTCTGCTATTCCTCCCGGCAAGCTTCACTGCTTTTTTAGCACCTACCTGGCCCCTATAGGTTTTTAAGGGTGAGATTCAAAAAGTGCAACAATGAATGAATGAAAATCCAAAATCTCTGTAAATGTTCATTAAAATTAATAAAATTTTTAAAAAATTTTTTAAAAGGGTGAGATTCCTGGATGGTTGTTGTTGCATACCACAGAGTCAGAACCAATCTATAGCTGACCCTCCATTGGGTTTTCAGAGGCAGTTAATCGCACAGGAAGAGACTGCCTGTCCTTCTCCTGCAGAGCAGCTGGTGGCCTCAAACCAGGTGCCTTCAGGATTGCAGCACAGCTTCTTTGCCAAGAGGCTACATTTTGCAAATATCCTTTCGACTTCCACTATCCTATGAGATCAGTGCCTACCAATCTGTCTTTCACGAGTTCTGGAGTTAATCATCAACTCCTTCCCATGTAAATGAGAACAGGGATGTCTTGCTTGGCCAATTTCCTCTGGAAATCTTGCTCTAATGCAGCTCTTTGCTGACCATGTCCTTTGTGTCTGCCTGTTCAACATTCGTCTACTAACAAAAAAGTTCTTACTTGCACCAACTGGAGCTCTCTGAGGCCAGCAACAGCTGCAGATGTCCAGGAAGCTCGGGCCGACCAGCCAGATGAGTTGGAATTGGGGACCCCCAGGCCAGATGCTGATCCGGGCTGTCTGGGTCCTCACAGCCACCACCAAGGGTGAGAGAAGACGTTCTTCAGAATGTGGTGGGGTGGGGAGGACTTTCTCCTCATGTATTGATGAAAATGGAGTTGTCAGGGATTTCTGAGGATGCACGGAGAGTGCCTGACCCAATCCTCTGCTGTTCCCGAGAGTCTCCTTTGGTGAAGAATGGAGGACTCTGGTCCTGTTTTGAGAAACTTATATCATTCAAAGGCTTGCAGGGCCCTTGATTCCGTCCCTGGGGTGGGATGTGAAATAGTGCCTAGATCCCTGCAGTTTTGCCAGCGAAGAGAAGACTTTGATCACTGAAATAATATTAGAACAGGTAGCTCCTGTATCTTGCTGGGTAAATAGCTGGACAATTTCCTTCTCAGGGTTCCTACTACATGTGGGGCATGGCCAAGTTCAGTGTCTTTTGTCTCATCAAACCCTTGGAAGTGGGTAAGATGATTTCAGATGACATCTGGGTGAACACTTTAAATTCATGTATAGAATTTTTTGGTGGAACCAACAGGTAAGAGCTAGGCCGCTAGGCAAAAGGTGGGCAGGTTGAGGCCTTTTAGAAGACAGAGTTGGGGATTTGTTTTCAAAGGATCGCAGCCTTCAAAACCTCATAGAGAAGCTCTCCCCAGAGCTTTGGAGGCACCATGAGTCAGAAGTGACTAGATCGCAACTAATAGTAACAGAATGCTTATTCATACATGTTTATTTGGAACGTGAATTAAAAAACAAGTATCGGTCTCATCAAAACCAGAGTTCTTGTCATAACCATAATACCCAATCATATATTGCTTTTAAACTGTTCTCTCCCTCATCTGTTTCAATGCAGTATACATAATTTATCCAGTTTTTCTCAGAGTCCAGAATGAAGGTTGCATAGTGGAGTGTACTCAGGGGGAGGGAGGGGATTGTATACCAATGAAAGAATTTTTCTTTTTCTTTTCAAAGAGAGGAGCGAACTGGGTGGGAGGGGTGGTGGGCAGGGAGAAAAGTGCAACAGTGGATGAATGGAAATCCAAAATCACTGTAAATGTTCGTTAAAATGAATTTAAAAAAAAGAAGAAAAAGACCATAATTTTGATTAACATCTTTCTTAAAAAGACATTTAGAAAAGGAGAGGTGAAGGAAATGGGTAAGATCCACTGTGAAAAACAATACATTCAGACTTTGTAAATAAACCAGTATAAAATGAAAAAAAAAAAAAAACAAACCCAACAAAACAATCAAAGTTCTTTAGTTGTGATTGCCAGAGATTCCTCAAGGCAAATGCAAGAGAAGCCTTTTATTGTTGTTCTGTAATTTGATGCTGAGAAAAAAAGGAAGAGTTGACAGCGCTGTGGTACCAATGAGTGTGTGGGAATGTGTGTGAAGTTGACGGGAGTTCAGGAGACTGTAGGTGAGATAAAGTTACGGAGATTCTAGGATCTACAGAGGCCCACGTATATCCATGCTATAGAGACACTCAGAAGAAGGAGATTTATTTCCTGGCTAAACTGGGCAAGCATTTTAATACTGGGATTCCAGGAGAAGACATCAGTGCTCACTGATAGAGGTGCCTTCCAAGGTGCTGGAAGTTGTGAATGTGGATGCACTGAGAGAGTATTTGCATAATTACTGTTGCATACCCTTGGGAGGGAGAAAAAGCACCCCCTTGGACTGACTCCCTGCATCTTCCCAGGCAGCTCCTAATTCTTTTCCCTGTGTTCCTTCAGGGCTAGCTGCGAATCCACCATGCAGGAATACCAGCCTCGGATGGGTCCAGGGGAAGCAGGTCACTGTGCTTGGAAGCCCCATGCTTGTGGACGTGTTCCTTGGGATCCCCTTTGCTTCACCCCCTCTAGGACCCCTGCGATTTGCACCTCCAACGCCAGCATTGCCCTGGAAAAACTTACGAAATGCCACCTCCTATCCTAACTTGTAAGACCAGGTTCAGTCCTATAGGCGGCCTGGGACTCTGGGAACTGGAGGGTAAATCCTGGAGGGGCAGCAAGGATCAGGTTGCCCAGTGGGAAAGGATAGGAGGCTTAGTGGCCCCATGGATGAGGAGGAAGGCTACAGAAGTCGATGAATGCTTTTATAAGTTCATGATTTCTAAATTAATTGATCCCCCAAATTGCTGGAAGCACTTGTTTCAAACAAGCAGATTCCCTAGGCTCCTGGTCTGGACTTTCTGAATCTGAATCTCCAAAGCTGTGTCAGGAAAAGTGTATTATTTACAAATCTTCTAATGATTCTGTAATCAACCAGATTTGGACAGCACTCTGGTGAATTTACTGAGTCTGAGTTAGAAGTGATTGTGTAGATGTTTCCATGTGACTTCAAGGCTTGTATCTCCACTGTCAGACTGGCCAAGGATGTTAGTGCGAAATACAATACCACAGAGATTTTATTCTAAAGCAAAGAGTACGTTCTAGTGACTGACCCATGCTCAATACGTGGCCACACGGAAACTTGTTAATGACTGTGGAAGGTGTGCATGAAAGTGTCTCTGACAGAGGTGGCCTGGGAAGAAAGATGGTCTCAGTTACAGGCAACCTAGCAGGGAACTAGCTGTCAGGTTAATTGTGGAGGATCCTCATTGGGTAGCAGGTAAGAGTTGAAAATCCCTAAGAATCTTTCAACACTTCAGATTCTGTGATGTTCTCGCCTGGAGATCTAACCAAGAACACTATGCTAGGCCAGGGAGCTCCCTAAGTGATGGAAGATCATGAATGTGACCCAGAGACAGAAGATACTCAGTTGAAACTCAATTTCTTCATTCATTCAGTAATTCAATACATTCCTTTGTTCAGCTAACAGTCATTGAGCATCAGCTCAATATTTGGCTTTGTAACAAGCTGTGAGGGACACAGACATTAATTCATCGTGACTGTCCTCAAGGTGCTTGCTGTTTTGTGATGAAGAAAGTATAAAAGATAATATAGGGTGACAATGCCAATACTGAGGGCATCAGAGAAGGGTGATGGGATCAGAAAGAAACAATTTACCTTACCTGGATCAGAGGTAGGAAATGTCTCCCTGATCCTAATTTCTCATAATACGTGACACAAAGAGTGAAGAGGCAGTCAAGGATAGGTTTGCAGTGATGGTTCCCTGCTGCCCATATTTCAGACCATGCTGTTAAACAAACAAGCAACAATAAAACTCAACTATCAGTGAGTGAGTACTTGTTGTTGGTAGGTGCCATTAAGACTCATAGTGCACTTATGAACAACAAATCTGAACCCTGTTCTATCCTGTGCCAGCCCATTGCTGAAGTCACTATCAATCCACCTGGTTGAGGGTCTTCTTCTCCTTTGCTGTCTCCCCACCTTCCCAAGAATGATGTCCCTCTCCAAGGAATAACCTCTCCTAGCAACATGTCCAAAGTATGTGAGATGAAGCTTTATCATCTTTACCTGCAAGGAGCACTGCACTGTCTCCAAAACATCTGTTCTTTTGGCTGTCGATAGGATAGTCAGTATTCTTCTCCAACACAGCTCAAAGACATCAATTCTTCTTCTGTCATCCTTACTCACTGTTCAGCTCTCAGATCCATAGCAAGTAAGCAAAACGACCATGACCAGAATCTGGCACACCTTAGTCCTCAAACTGACATCACTGCTCCTTAATCATTTGGAGAGGTCTCTCACCGCAGACTTTCCCAGTGCAATAAATCACCTGATCTCCTGACGTCTGCTATCAAGTGTATTGGCTATAGATTCAAGTGAGATGAAGTAATTGATCATTGTATCATTTTTTTTCTGCATCTATCTTGGTGCTGCCTATTGGTCCAGTGGCGAGGATTTTTGTTTTCTTGACATTGAGATGTGATCTGTATTGAAAAGGTTTGACTTTCTGCAGTAAGTGCTTCAGGCCCTTTTCACATCCAGCAGCTGAGCACTTAACATGATCGAAATACTCACAGTACTGTGTGGCAGAGTCTGTGTCAGGAGATGTGAGCTGCAGAGGTGATTACTATAGAGTTTTTGAACCTTTAGCTGTGAGGTTTCCCCAGTATCATGAGAAAGGGTCTCTACCTAATAGACAAATTCACTGACAGCCACTTGGAGACTTCGTTTGTTCTCTCTTTGTCTAAGGTGCCTCCAAAGCCCGGAATGGCTGAAGACAGATGAGAGCTTGCTGAAGGTGCATTATCCCAAACTCACAGTTTCGGAAGATTGCCTGTACCTCAACATCTACGCTCCAGCTGACGCTTTTTTGGGCTCCAGTCTCCCAGTAAGACTGCTTCAGGGGCTTAGGAAGCTGATCTGGCTAGGATGCTGTTGGCCTGTGATCCAGATTTGGTGACTGCGTGTTTGGAATCAGACCTAGCTCCCTCTTGGGTATAAAGGAAGCATCACTATTGGGCACATAAGTTACTCTTAACCTTCTCCCATGGAGCAGCTGGTGGCCTCAAAGTGCATGCCTTTGGCATTGCAGTGCAGCTTCTTGCCACTAGGCCACCAAAGCTCCTTAAGAAAAATCATTATCATGATATTGGCCTTTGCTTTTTATTTTTACTTGTTTCTCTCTTCCTCTGTTGAATGTTTAATGAACTGTAGTCTTCTAGAAACATCATTTCTTTGAAAGATTCTTTGAAAAAAATTAATTTTAGAAATTATTTTTATCAGATAGGACAATTGCAGGGAGCTCTGGTGGCCTAATGGTAGGAAGCTGCCCTTCATTCACAAAGGCCTGTGGTTTGCGCCCACCAGCTGCTCGTGGGAGGAGGGTAGGCAATCTCCTCCCCTGTGATTAACTGCCTTTGAAAACCTGCCGGAGGGTCAGCTATAGGTTTGTTCCGACTCTACGCTATACAGTAAAAACAACAGCAACAACAGGATAATTCATCCTTCAGGTTTTCTAGCAACAAATTAGACAGTGATGATGCTGAATATTTAATTTAAACTTGTAAACATCCCGGTACAAGTGAGTGATGCGGGATTCTTTAACCACACCCTTCCACCCTTCTTTGTCCTTTGGGCCCCTACAGTGGGCCTCATTCTGAGGGATGGTAAGAGCATTTACCATTTGTCAGGCCCAATGCATTACCTCATGCAATGTCCACACAACTCTGTGGACTAAAGATTAGTGGGACCCATTCTAGAGATAAAGAAGAGAAGAGACAGGCAGTTGTTAAGTGACTAACTCCATTGTGTGCATACTGGAAGTGGTAGATTCCAGTCCAGAGGCCAGCTCTTTGCTAAGCTTTCCTTTGCCCTCAATGGTTTCTTCTCTTAGAGAAAGCTTCAAGCATGACAATATCAAATATAATCTCTCTCTTTTTTTAATTGGTACTAACTGAGGAGCAATGATGTCAGTCTGGAGACTAAGGTGCACCTGAAACAGGTCATGGTCTTTGCAATTACTTGCTATGCTTCAGAGAGCTGGACAATGACTAGAGATGATAGAAGGAGCTTTGATATCTTTGAGCTTTGCTGCTGGAGAAGTGTTGAATATACCAAGGAGTGCTAGGTGAACAAACAAGTTCATCCTGGAAAGGGTGAAGCCAGGCTGCTCCTTGGAGGCAAGGATTCTGAAGCTTTGTCTGATATACTTTGGACATGTTGCAAGGAGCAACTAGTCCTTAGAGAGTGATGTCATGCTTGGTGCAGGGTGGAAGGACAGCACAGGAGAGGAAGACCCTCGATGAGATGGATTAATTCAGTCACTGGGGTAATGGGGATAGGCGTGTTGGAGACAAGATTGGCAAGGGATAGAGCAGGGTTTAAGGCTGCTGTACACTGGGTCGCTATGAGTCACAAGTGACTCAAAGGCACATAACAATAACAACAATAACAACAACAACGAAATGTATAAATAATGCTGATACTCACCGAAGGTGTGCTGGTGGTACAGTAGTTAAAGTACTTGGCCACTAACTGAAAACTTTCCATCTATTCTATGGGAGAAAAATGTGTCCGTCTGCTTCCAAAGGTGTGGTTATCAACTTCCATAAAGATTACAGCTTTGGAAATACTATATCATTCTGTTCTATAGGCCACTGATGCAGGGTTAATCTGAGGACAATCAGCTGGGGTCTTGGCTTAATATTATTTTGTGATGTTATGTATTCTATGGTCCTCGTTATTTGAAGCAATGTAGGGGAGTTTCTACAATTCATATTCTCTCTCTCTCTCTGTCTGTCTGTCTCTCTCCCCCTCTTCTGTCCTCTCCTCTCCTCTCCTCTCCTCTCGTCTCTTCTCTCTAAAGGCGGAAAAAACCTTCAAATAAATAACAAGCTGCTTTTGCTGTCAATTGTGACTTACAGTTGTTTCCATCTTCTCGTGGACCACAGGCTTACAGAGCCTTCTCAATGCTGACATTGAACTTGTGATGGATAACTTTGTTTACATCTTGTAATAATCTCGTAAGACAGATCCTGGCATTGTTCACATCTTATAGATGACGAAAGTGAGCCACAGAGAACTTAAGCAGTCGACATGGGGTCATGCAGCTAGTCAGTGGCAGAGTTGGGCATCAACCCTAGACATTTGGATACCAGAGTCCAAACACCGGCTCTTTCAAAAAAGAAGAAACGGCTGACCTTAACTGGAAAGGAAGAGTATCCAAGCACACGCGGGAGGAGAAGTGGACACCTACTAGGTGGATTGGAGACTTCTTCCTCCCTCTTTAGGTCATGGTGTGGTTCCCTGGCGGAGCTTTCGAGACGGGCTCAGCCTCCATCTTCGACGGATCTGCCTTGGCAGCTTATGAAGATGTGTTAGTTGTGACCACCCAGTACCGCCTGGGACTGCTGGGCTTCTTCAAGTGAGTCTCCCTGAGTGTGTCTGACACTTCAACCCCCAAAGCAGCCACAGACGATTCAGTAACTTAGGGAGAATGACAGAAACCAAACCTCCGCAAATCTGTTAAGCGTTTTAGTTATCACAACAGCTGAACTCCCAAGCCTCAGTGAGGTAGTACAGTAAACACCTCCTTCTCACTCGTGTGAAATCCAGCTGGGTGTCCCTGATTGACATCTACACGATCAGTTAGGGGCCAGGCGCCTTCCATCTTGGGGCTTTGTCTTTCTCTAAAAGCAGGTTCTCTGCATTTACCCAGCAGATGGAGAGAGGATACAAAGCACCATGCAAGGTAGAATTTGCTAGGTCAACAATAGGTGGGACTCATCACCTTTGTTTCCATACTGTTGCCAGAACTCCGTTGCCTGCACACACACAGCTATGAAGGACATATATGAGCCCTGAAACAGTAGGAAACAGGTTATGTGAGCAATTAACCCCTGCGGCAGTGCTCAGTATAAGACTCTCAAAAATTCCACTTGGTCATCACCGCTCCCTTCCACCACTCACATTCCTGTGATAACTTCCGGCTTGTAGTGGGTGGGTATGTTCTTCCAGTCAAGCACAGGGCTCAACATTTCCCATGCATATTTCAACTCAGCCTTAACAACACTGTTGTTGGTTTTGTTGTGTATCACAGTTGGAACTGACCGCTAGCTGAACCTTCAGGAGGTTTTCAGAGGCAGTTCGCCACATGGGAGGAGATTGTCCATCCTTCTCCCGCACGTGGATCAGCTGTTGGAGTCAAACCACATGCCCTCGGGGTTGCAGTTCAGCTTCTTGCCACTAGGCCACCAGAACTCTCAAAATGAACCTGTGAAAAATATACTTTCATTATCTTCATTTTTATAGTGGAGAAAATTGAGGCACTGTGAGCTTCACCAACTTCTTAAGGCCATAGAACAGAGCTGGATCTCTTAACCACGTCCATAGTGCTGCCCAGGACATAGCAAAAGTTCCTGCACCCAGATTTCAAGCCCTTTCAGGCCTGCAAATCTCTGCCCCTGCAAAGTGGCAGTGGCCTCTGCCCTGACTCCCACCAGTCTCAGCCTCTAAGCCCCTGGGCTTTGGCAAGCAGACAGTGGCCATCTGAGGGAGGAATCTTACCTTGTCCCTTGTCCTCAGCACAGGGGACCAGAGCGCTCCGGGGAACTGGGCCTTGATGGACCAGGTGGCTGCCCTGACATGGGTCCAGGAGAACATCGAGTTCTTTGGCGGGAACCCCGACTCTGTGACCATCTTTGGCGAGTCAGCAGGAGCAATAAGTGTTTCCAACCTTGTGAGTTTGGGCTTTGTGACTTGAATGCAGCTCAGCAGGGGAGGCAACAAGAATAAGGGCGATGAATCACTCCCTCTCCATGCTTTCATGTCGAACAAACACTTCGATACACGTGGTCCCCAGGGAACCCCATAAATACGTCAGGAGGCCAGGCCTTCAGTCTCACTTTATGGACAAGGCAGCTTTTAGCAGGAGAATTTAAATCAACCATCTACAGTCACATAGTAATGAGTTGAAAATACATTTGTAGAGTAGAAATCAAGACTGGAAATTATTTGTTTCAGAAGGAAAAAAAAAACACAACCACCAAAATCCTTCATTTAAAGCATTAAAAAGCAAACATGACTCACCCATTGCTTCTGAGTATATTCTAACTCATAACGACGCTCCATCGGGTCTCTTGGGTGGTAAGTACCCTGAGCAAAGCCTGCTCATCTGACACCTAGGACCTCCTAGCTGATACAGATGAATGACTCCTTGAGGTTAACAGCACATCACCCAATATATTGTGTTACCAGATTTCCTTTAAATAACAAAGGGCATCTTTTCTTGCTGAAGTGTTAGAGTTCTCTTCAATGTTCGAGATTGGTCCCAGTTATGCGATTACATTGCAGGGATTGAAACCAATGTTATTGAACAAAACGTGTATGAATGATTGGAGGAAAAATTAATTTCCTTTGTGAGCTTTCACTCAAACCACAAAAATAAAAAAATTAAAGATATCTATTTTAAAAACAAAGGACGTATAGGAAGATTGTCTTTAAGTTAAAACATGAAATTGATGATTTGATATAGGACTTTATCTCTACAGAGCTGGCTGGCGGGCTCTCATGCATAAACTCCCTGGAGGATTGACTGCCTTCAAATTGTGGTTCCAGTTTCTTCACAGGGGACATGAGTTACAAATGCCTGTAAAGCACCATGACAGACTCACATCGGCAGTTTTCTGTTTTTCCCTCAAAGCTTTTGTTATTAACCTTTTCCAGGCTCAATCCTGCAGTATTTGGGAGGTTTGGTTTTGTTTTGTGGGTTGTTTTTTTTTAAGATGCTTGCTTTTATCAAGTTATTTCTGCAAATCATTTTGTTTTCTTTTCACAATCTTTGTTTTCTTTTCATAATCATAATAAATGTGAATTTATTGATTCCCATACTTAAGTCAATTGTGTAATTATAATAGCAGGTGCAGCTGAGGCCAACCAACCAACCAACCAAAACTAGCTTAAGCAAATGTACCTGACTTTTGGTCCAAAACCGGTGGGAACAGTAATTCCAGGTCCTAGGAAATGGCTCACTGGGCTCTGAGTGGTCAGCATTTCCTGCGTCTCAATATATTTTACAGAAGGGAATAGAGAGTATCAGCTTATCCCACAGGTTGGGTAATGGAGAGGAGTTAAGCGAAGGACTTACATTTTTATATCTTCAAAACACTCTTATGTGTACACTTAGTGTATCAACCCACTTGTATGCATGTGGCAATAGCTACCTTTTTTTTGTTAAGTGTCTGTTGTGAACTGGGCACTGCATGAAACCTCCCATTGCCCATTGCTTCTTAGACTCCTAAACAACAACCTTATGATGTGGGTTCGATTCTTATTCTCGTGTCAAAGACAAAGAGGCTGATACTTAGAAAAAAATTAAGCAGCTTGTCTGAAATTATCCAGCTAGAAAATGAAGGAGTAAGAACTCACATGCCAGACTGTTCGACTGCCAAGTTCATGAGGGACGTGAAGTTCCAAGAGGTTAATTAAGTTGTCCGAGCTGCTCCTTGAACATCACACCAACAATTATTCCTTTACAGACAGGGCTGTGAAGGAGGTATTTCTGGGGTGTTTTATTTCTTTTTCTTTTCATTTTTTCTTGTGATTTGAGTGAAAGTTTAGAGAGCAGATTGGTTTTTTCCATCTAATCATGCATACATTTTACTCTATAACATTGATTAAATCCCCACACCCAACAGCACTGTTTCTCCTTCCATTTGTGATTCTGGTTCCCTTCTAGTCTTCTATTCTCCTCCTTCCAGCCGTCTTAGCTTTATCCCTGGGCAAATGCTCTTCTTTTCCCTGGTGTTTTTGTTCATTTTAGAGGCCTATCTACTGTTTCGTTGCAATTTGAGTCACGGAATGAGTTTTGTTCCTGGTTCAAACGGTGACCAAAGATTATGTTCTCAAGGGGTTCTGCTAGTCTTCAGCCTGGCTGTTTTTATGAGGTTGAGGTTGTTTTCTGCATGTTTCTCTTGGGAAGTATTTTTGAAGGTACGTGTAATGAATGAGAATTCCTTTGGAGGACTTTACCTGCTCCTGTGTTCTCTCTCCAGGTTCTGGCCCCCATTGCCAGGGGCTTATTCCACAAAGCCATCATGGAGAGCGGAGTGGCCATTATCCCTTACATGAAAGCCTCTGACAGTGAGAGAAACCAGGATGTAGGTATAGCTTTTTGATTTCTTCTCGTTCGTTGGAAGAGAGTGTGGTCAGGAGTCAAGTCAGTCGATTGTCAGATTTTCACTATGTGCTTGACTTTCTTTCTTGACCATGGCCCAGGACCATGTTGCTGGCCCATGGTGACTCTTCTTCCCCCATCATGGAAGATCCAGACACGGGTCAAACTATACAAGGCAATATAAGTAATGAGTGGATATATTTTTTCTACATATTACCCATTCTTTTTCTTGTGATAACTCAGCCCCCTGTGTTATATACCGCTCCTAAACATACTCTATAGGGAATGATTTCTAGAGTCCCAGGTCAAGAAAGGTTCTGAGACTACCGCCAGCTCATGGGGAAAGAATAGTGTGGACTGTGAATGTGGCTGGCATGGGTTTATGTAAGAAAGGTGGGGAATATGTACCAGGTATTCTTTGTCTTATCTTTCTACTGGATAATGACACTCTATTTGCCATGTATAAAATAATACTGAATGAATGGCACATTAATCTAGCCCTGGGCTATCAAACTATCTCCTTTACATTATTTTTTTTAAACAATTTTCTTTTATTTCATTATTTTTTGTGTGTGTAGCGTCAAATCAGATCTGACTGATACAGGAGGAGATTGTTCCTCCTTCTTCAGCAGAGCATCTGGTAGATGTGAACCGTGTACCTCTGAGATTGCACTGCAACTTCTTGCCACTAGGCCACCAGAGCTCGCCGTCCTTTACATTATTAATCTTAGTGATATATTTCATTCAATTACTCAATTCATTATAAGGGGGATACCACGTTTCAAGCAGAAACATTGCTTGATTTGTAAATCTGGAAACACACCCTGCACACAGGGCAAACATTGATTATGGTGGCCTTTTACATAATACAGCTTTTAGTTTGGACATATGTTCACGTATTCACCACACACTTACTGAGTACTTCTTGTTTTGACAAACCTGTGGGTTAGGATAGGTGCTTTGCAAGTGGAGAAGGTATATCCTAACCTCAAGGAAACTATAGTCTTTTTATTTCACTTGGAATCCATGGATATATTGAGACGTCAGCCTCAAACACAGATTTTGTGCTTGTGCATCTTCCTGGTCTGAGGCCCTTTGGTAGCTTTTACTGAATTCTAAAGACACTGTTAAGACTTCCAGAAGATAAAGGGTTATCACTATCAGGGGAAAAGTCTGCACATATGGAAGGTTCAGCAACAAGGCAAAAAGATGTTTAGTTGGGAGGGAATTCTTGAAACGATAGGACATTAAAGGAACAAGGAATATGATTCATGGGGAATCCAGTGGTGTGAAAGTGTGTCCTAGAGGAAGTGGGATTTGACTTTTAAAGAATGAGAAAAACTGGATGAAATATGTTTACGGCATTGAAGTCTATGGGGGAGAGAATAGTTTAAAAGTATTATATTATAGGGCATTATGTTTGTCGTAAGAGCACGGAATGAAGGTTGCAGAGTGGATTATATTTGGGGTTGGAGGTGAGGGTGGGGGTGTGTGGGGGAGGGGGGATTGTGTACCAATGAGGGAGTTTTTCTTTTGCTTTTCAAGGAGAGGAGCTAAGGGGGGGGGGCGGGGAGAAGGGTGCAACAATGAATGAATGGAATTCCAAAATCTCTGTAGATATTCATTGAAATGAAAAAGAAATAAATTAATTTAATAAAAAAAAGAATGAGTGGAATCACCATAGAGGCAACAAAATTCCATGCGTGAGGTGTGAAATGTGATTTGAGCAGAGCTAAACAGGAGTCGGACCCCAGTGATCTGGAGTCATGACTCAATGGCAATTAAGGGCCCCATCATGCTTGTCCCCACTCTGGCTCTTATTTGCATCAGTGGGCTGCTTGGATCCTTGGGGCTGAACTCGAGGAAAGTCAAGGTTCCAGAACTGTTTTTCTGTGACTCAGGAATCTTGACTCTCTTCCATGTCACAGAGAGATGACTCCTCACCCCTAGATTTGGTGTTTGCTAAAGTCAAACAAGAACAAGAGTAAGGACGAGGCGGGGCAACGTGTTCCCACTGCCGCTCCCCCAGTGCACACATTCCATTGTAGAAGGGCGAGGGTGGAGAGCGACAGCTGGATGGACTTCATATATGAAGAATGAGTCACGGGTTGCGTTAAGGACTCTTTGCAACCTTCCTTTTTTTCTGGATATTTTCAGTAAAATGCTCAAATCTTGTCTTTCTTTGGCATAGCTGCAGTTCATTGCAGGTATCTGTGATTGCAACGAGTCAGACTCCGAGGCCCTGCTGCAGTGCCTGCGGGCGAAATCCTCTAAGGAGTTGCTGAGCCTCAGTCAGGTGACCAGGAAGGGGGGAGTTTGTGGGAACGATTGTCTCCTTTGAATCAAGTAGGATTTTGCTGTTGGAACAAACCCTTGTACCTTCTTTGACCTAGGACTTAAAAAGAGGAATTTGAGGGCTGGGACAATGGCTATAAAAAACCAAAGTGGGATATAAATTCCTTATAGACAATCTAACAAATTTAATAAAATAAAAATGCTAAGGAAGGGATGGATGCTACTTAGACTGGAGAAACTTCGCAAAATGCAAGAGTTTTCTCTAAATCGTTGACACATCTTGTTGGGAAAAGAGGTGACGTTTGTTCCATAGGCATCTGAAAGCTTAAGATCAAGAGCCTAAAGCTCTATTCAGAAGCTGATTTTCATTTAATATAACCAAGAGCTTCCTAAAATCTAAGTTGTCTGAAAGAGGACAGGTCTTCCTCAGAAGGCAATAAGACCCACCTCACCAGGGATTCAAGCAGAATCTAGATGACCACTAACAAGCTTTTTACTAACTGAATCAATGGTTGATTAATTGGACAGAGTGCTCATATTTGTCCCTTTTAAATCTCAAAAGCCTTTGGTAGTCTTAGAAATAGGCCATTCTCTATAAGACTCAACATTTGTTAATGACTTATTTGGCATGACAATGAGAATCTGCTATGAGATAAGTAAGGTGCCTAGTCCTGGAGTTTATGACGATGGATACTGAATCCTTGGCTTGCTATAGCATGAAAGGTCTTTTAGATACTCTCTTCTATTCCCACTTGAAAAACAAAAATTTTACAAGTCATGATTTGAGCCAAGTGTGCTTTCTGGGACCCAGGAAAAATCCAGCTGTGTCCAAAGTCAAGTGCTCTTTGGAAGATATCTCAAGAGGATGTTCACACCAATTCCTATTATCCTGGCCTACTATCTTTCCCCTCCTCACTCTCTCCACTGCATTTGACCAGTATTTTTCAAACTTGAGTGTGCATCCAAATCACCTGGAGGACTTGTGAAAATAAGTCTTCTGGTTTGTGCTTCTAATTCAAGTTCCAAGAGATGCTGCTGGTTCAGGGAACCACATCTTGAGATGATGTTGTTGTTGTTGTTGTTGTTGTTGTTAAGTGCTGTCGAGTCGCAGGCGACTCATAGCGACCCTATGAAAAAGAGTCCTCGACGCTTGGGTGCCTTTCATCCTCTCTTCAGGTTCATAGGGTTTCCGGAGGCAAGCTATTATGGAAGTGGATGCCACTCCTCCTTCCACATTTGTTTAATCGGGGAGCTCCACCCCGCTCTCTGTACACATTGGGTAACCAACCATTAATGCATTTGACACATCAGTGTCACAGTGTTCAGCCTCACAGCAACCACAAGTGACCACGGTATGGCAACGATCTAGAGGAATGGCTGAACAAAACAATGAAAGACCAAGGACCATGGATTAAAAAGTCACCCACCTTTGGCTTGGTAGCATTGCTTTCTGTCCACTGGGCCAGCTCTCTCTAATCACTACTGTAGTTCACTACTTTTTTCTTTGGTAGATTAGTAGTAGTAGTAGTAGTAGTAGTAGTAGTAGTAGTGGCAGCAACAACAGCAGCAGTAGTATCCATTCACCATAGTAGTAGTAGTTTCCATTTACCAGATGAGGAAAGAGGCCCCCCAAAATTGTGTGTTCTTGTAAGTGACAGAGCTAGCTAAGCATTGATGCTTTGGGCTTGGCCAACAGTGGTTTATTTTTCCTTTCCCAATGAAATTTAGGGAGCTCCAGCAGCCTCATAGGTAGGTAATTGTGTTGCAAACCCAAAGGCAGACTGTTTGAATCCATTAGCTGTTCCATGGGAGAATGATAGGCCAACTTCTCCCATGAGATCTACAAACTCTGAAAATGCACTGGAAGATCAGCTCTGAGTTGCCTCTGATGCTATTGGGTTTGAGGGTTTTTAGAGACATAATGGGCTAAACTTGCCTAGGACCTAGACAGAGCAGTTTTTACAAAACCACTGCTGATTTATCTTCTCTTTCCAATTTCAGAAGACCAAGTCTTTCACTCAAGTGGTTGATGGTTTTTTCTTTCCGGACAATCCTACAGACATATTGATTCAAAAACAATTTTATCCAATTCCTTCCATCATTGGAGTCAATAACCATGAATGTGGCTACCTGCTGCCCATGGTAAGAACCTCTGCTGTCCTCCCTGCTGCCCCATAGGCTGGGACTATCTCTTCTCTCTCTGAAAGAGGATAACCAAGGACTGGGGGGCATTGTGGCGTCCCTCCCCTGATTCTCGTACAAGTTTATGGTGGACAAAACAACCACGTGAAAAGGTAAGTGATGATTCCGTCCATTGGAACTTTCTTGAAGACCTCATAGCTGATGACTTCAAACAAAAACAATATTGTCTCAAAGAAGAAATTCAGATAAATTTGGAAAATGTCAGTCCCTTAGAATTCCATGCTTTGACTTTTTAATTTCTGAGGATGCTCTGTAAGTTTGTCCAGGTTACAAAATCACTAAGTAATTTCATCCACTCAACAAGGGTTACTAAATGTTTGCTTCATGCTCTACCCTTTTCTGAAAAATGGAGAACTTAACAACCCATGAGATGAGTCCCACTTTCTGTGAGCTTATGTCCTCAAGGAAAGGGACAGATGAAAGGCAACATTGAAAAGATGGTTTCAGGGAGAGAAGATTTCTGTAGTAGGCAGTGGAGGGCCATAGAAATCTACTACAGAGAGAGATCATTCCAGGTGAGACTGCAATACTGAGGTTAAAAAACAACAACAACAACCCCAAACAATCAGTTGCTGTTGAGTATAACTTGATCCATGATGACCCTGTGTGTGTCAGAGTAGACCTCGGTCCCATGAGTTTTCAAGGACTGATTGTTTGGAAGTTGATCACTACAAGGTCTTCCTTCCAAGTTGATCATCACAAGGTCTTTCTTCCAAGTTG